GATAGATAGATAGATAGATAGATAGATAGATAGATAGATAGATAGATAGATAGATAGATAGATAGATAGATAGTAGATAGATAGATAGATAGATAGATAGATAGATAGTATTAACGTCGTTTTCATGCCGACTTGTCGCCATCTTCTGTCCAAACTAACCAACACACGTTCATTTTTTATTTTTCTTCTTCTTTTTGTGAAGGCATTTAGGTGTCCTCGCTCTAAACAATTTGGGTCCTGACGAAAGTTCGGTTTGCAGCTGGAAAATGTAGTTTTTCGATCAACGTCTTCTACGCTTATTGTGACTCTCGGGACTTCAGTTCCCACAAGTCATTGCGCGCGTACGTTCGTGCTGGGCATTATGGCGTCTCCTTGAAGCGTAGAATAATCGCAAGTATTTTGTTGACAAGCAATTAAGCTTTGAAAAGGTAAGATTTAAATTGAGTGAACAACAAAACTACGTTACCTGTTTAATCACATAAAGAAAAGTTTATTCATTTATTATTGTCGCGCGTTTCAGGACCTTTTTGGAAAAATAATCGACTCTTTTTCAAGACTTTAGCTTAGCGGGCTAACTAGCTGCGTTCTGCAAATGTTCACATAACAAAATGAGACAGTTGTGTCTCTTCTCTAGTTTTGGGCGAGTGACTGAATTTATATGAGGAAAATAATGCTTTAATGTTGTGCCTGATGTCTCCCTAATCCTAATTTTGAATCGTCTTTTTCTTATTTAGAACTTCCTGTCGGAGATGCAAAAAACAAACAAACAAATGATTAAATTCCCAATTAAAAAAATAAAAGCCAAGTGACGTGTGACTGTAGTTGTGAAGTTCAGTGTTGCACATTTGCAACAATCATTATGTTTTTACTAAATAAGTGTTAGCCATTGATTCATAGTGCAATTATTTTTATTTTTATTTTTTTTATTAGACGGAAATGGGAATAAATTAACTCGCATAAATAATCGCTTTTTTGGAGGACTCTTTTATAAAATTTATATTTTTGAAAAGTTTTAGTTTAAAGAAAACAAAAATAGTTGCATTTGTGGCCTGAGAGTGTTGTTTAATATAGATTGTTTAATTTGTTATTACTGTGTTTTTAGAGTTAAGTTGGGAAAATAAAGCGTCTATTTTATCGTCACATTTATTGAAACTGAATATTAGATCAATTTTGCCATCAGACTCACGACACAGCTGAGTTTACCTGTGTTTTGTGTTTGCAGATGGCAGCTGACTCCGCAGACAGGAAGGTCGCCGACTCCTCCGGAAGCAAAGACCGGGAGAGAAAGCGCAGCCGATCACGTGATCGCAAAGGGTCACCTTCACGCAAACGCCATCGCTCTCGTGAGCGAAACCGCTCCAAATCTCCGGAAAGGTTAACTATAAATGGCGTTCATTTGACTTCACTGTTGTTTGTGTTTTCACAGCAAGAGATTTCAGAACTTTTAGCCTTAAAATTTGTGACTTTTCTTTATCACTTGTGTTATGATGTCAGAGACCGGCGCATGAAAGACAAGGACAGAGACAAGGACCGGGATCGAGACAAAGACAAGGACAGGGGTCGCAAGGACAGAGACAGCCACCGGCGAGATAAAGACCGGAAGAGGTCCAGGTACTCATGTGACATTTTTACAGATCAGCTGATCTGTCATCCAGGACATGTTAACTCCCCCAATTAAAATAGTAAAAATAAAAATGTAAAAATAAAAAAGCATTTGAAGAAAATCCCGATGAGTTCCAAAAGAGACACAAGAGAATCACAGTGTTTCTGCATTTACTTCCAGTCTGTTTTGTGGTGTGTTTTTCTTTTTCTTTTCTTTTCTTTTCTTTTTTTTAAGATTTCCTTTCTGACAACAGCAGCCCAGTCAGCAAATGTTTGAAGAGCTTTTCTGATGTTTTTGTCAGGACATGATGCTGTAGACTTCTAATGACAGAACGTTTGTGTTGTGTGGCGAAACAAAGGTTCTGATCAGAACACAAACGTGTTACTGCATTAGTAAATTTTTTACTGTTGTTATTTCTACACTCTGGGTTCCACCCAAGCCTAAAAACAACAGTAAGTCTTGACGAAGCTGAGATGAAATATAAGGGAACGTGGCTGGAGGTTTGAATTTCTAAACATTTGTTTGTTGTGTCGTTTCTGTCAAATGATCTGTGGTTTGTTGCTCTTTCTTACAGAAGCCTCTCACCAAAGTCTAAGGATAGGGTAAAGAAAGAGAAAGAGATAAAAACAGAGGAGGAAGAAGATGACAAAAAGAAGAAAGAAAAGGTATAATTCTTAAGTGTTTTGTAGTTTTAGTGTCATTTTATTTAATCCCAGGCGATAACTGAGGTGCATTTGTTTGTTAAGAAAGGTTGAAGATTAGAGTAAACGATGACATTCAGTGTCGCACTGGCAAACTGTAGTTTAAGGTGTTTTAACTGTGTTGTGGTGTTGTTGTGTTGTGGTGTGTCTCAGGTCCAGCCGTTGTCTCTTGAGGAGCTTCTGGCCAAGAAAAAAGCAGAGGAGGAAGCTGAAGCTAAGGTAAGACGTTCCCTGACATGGTTATATGCATTTAAAAGAAAAAATGCAATGTATTTATTTATTTTTTAAAACAATTTCTTCTTTAAACTTTTTTCATTTTCAGCCCAAATTCCTCTCGAAAGCGGAGCGAGAAGCCGAGGCTCTGAAGCGCAGAGAGCAGCAGGTGGAGGAGAGGAAGAAGATGCTGGACGAGGAGCGCAAGAAGCGGAGGGTGTTTCAGGATATCGGCAGGAAAATGCTGGGTGGGTTTCAGACTGTCGGTCTTCAGGCGAGGTGTCTTTGTCGTGCTCTGAATCCACATCGACAACAGGATGACATGTTCCGCTTTGTGTGCAGAGGACCCTCAAGAGAGGGAGCGACGAGAACGGAGGGAGCGAATCGAGCGCGAGAACAACGGGAACGAGGAAGACGATGGGCGGCAGAAGCTCAGAGAGGAGAAAGACAAAGGCAAAGAGCTCCAAGCCATCAAGGTCTGTCGGATAATTAATGCGTCAAAAACATTTGAAGTCTAAAAGGAAGGAGTGAGGTAAAAAAATTAGGTTCACAGCAAATATTTTTTAAAACGACTGGGCTTGTTTACAGGAGCGTTATCTGGGCGGCATCAAAAAACGGCGGCGGACTCGTCACCTGAACGACAGGAAGTTTGTTTTTGAGTGGGATGCCTCTGAAGACACGTCGGTGGACTACAACCCCATGTGAGGCCATTCTTTATTTTACTTTTAATCCCGTTTTCAGTCAGAAGTAGTGGTCACCTCGAGGTGGAATAAACTGTTCCACCTGTCTTTGACCTTGAACACAGAAGGCCTCCCTCAGAGAGACAGAACTCTGCTCGAGTTAAAGTCATAACAAGTTTTCTTAAACAGTAAAGAGACATTTTCGTCTTATTAATCAGATAATAATCAGAATAATCTTTTTATTCATAATTTTATCGATGTATTAAAAAGAAAACACAAAAACAATGCTATTACAATGTTTTGTTGTGCTTTGGTGTAAATCACTGCTTGAACTTTAACTGTGAAACCACAGTAATTGATTATAGATTTTTAAGTTTAAATATTTTACTTAACTAAACTTTGCATTATGGTTAGGCTTTATTATGAAAAGTCTTATAATTATTTTTATCTGAATCATTATAATGGTATAACACATTACAACACAGGTTTTCTGATATTTCAGGCGGTAAACTTCTAACCTCTGTTGCAGATACAAAGAGAAGCATCAGGTGCAGCTGTACGGCCGCGGCTTCATCGCCGGCATCGACCTGAAGCAGCAGAAACGGGAGCAGTCGCGCTTCTACGGCGATCTGATGGAGAAAAGACGCACGCTGGAGGAGAAGGAGCAGGAGGAGTGAGGCCGGCCGTCTGCGCTTGAAAAGACGTGAGCTTTTTTTTTAAAAAAGAAGAACTTCCTGATCGGATCGGTGTTTCTCTGCAGGACGAGACTGAAGAAGGTGCGAAAGAAGGAAGCCAAGCAGCGCTGGGACGACAGACACTGGTCCCAGAAGAAGCTGGACGAGATGACGGACCGAGACTGGAGGATCTTCAGAGAGGATTACAGCATCACCACCAAAGGAGGAAAGATCCCCAACCCCATCAGGAACTGGAAGGAGTACGCTCTGCCCGCTCACATCCTGGAGGTCATCGACAAGTGTGGCTACAAGGTGGAGCTGCGCTCGACGTCTCGTCCTCCAACCTGTCTGTAGATCTGACTGTTTGAGCCTGAAACTTTTTTAAATTTGTCTCCAGGAACCTACGCCCATTCAGAGGCAAGCCATCCCCATCGGCTTGCAGAACCGCGACATCATCGGTGTGGCAGAAACTGGCAGCGGTAAAACAGCTGCTTTCCTCATTCCTCTGCTCGTCTGGATCACAACGCTCCCAAAGATTGACAGGTAGCCATCATTTACCTTCTAATGCGTGAGTCCCTCGCCTCAGTTTTAGCCTGACCCGTCCCTCCGCTCTGCGCCTGGCAGGATCGAAGACTCGGATCAGGGTCCTTACGCTGTGATTTTAGCCCCGACTCGTGAGCTGGCGCAGCAGATCGAAGAGGAGACCATAAAGTTCGGGAAGCCTCTCGGCATCCGAACGGTGGCTGTGATCGGAGGCATCTCCAGAGAGGACCAAGGCTTCAGGCTCAGGATGGGCTGCGAGGTAAAAACATTCAGTCTTAATGTTTTTTTGTTTTATATTATTTTTTATAATATAATATAACATAACATAATATAAGATAATATAAATGATTGTAATTTGTTATATAAATACATACAAATTATTTATAATATAATTCTTATATAAATATATAAATATATGTGTGTGTGTGTGTGTGTGTGTGTGTGTGTGTGTGTGTGTGTGTGTGTGTGTGTGTGTTGTATTAGCAGCTGAAAGCATCCATGTGTTATTGTGTACAAGTCAATTAGTGTCTGAATGTGTGGTGTGTGTGTGCCAAGCAGACACGCTCTGAAAGTTTTCCCAATTCCAGGTGGAGCCAGATTTTAAACACGCAGATCTGCTGAGATGATAGACCCCCCCCCCCCCCCCAGGCTGGGTCGAACCCGCGCCGCGCTGTGCACCGTGCACCCCCCCCCCCCCTCACCCTTCCCCATCCTGTCACCAAAGGCAAATAAACTCGTCTGATAAAAAGACCCCACCTCATCTCGCCCCTCTCCCCTTTTCAACCCCTGCTGCCATAAACCCCAATTTTCCGCTCCCGCTCACCTTCCACTGATCCAACCCCCGCCCCCCTCCTGCTGCTTTTCGTCTCCTTGCATATGGGTCCTGTTCGGTGCCCCCCAGGGGCACGTCAAGAGCGAACGCTCTTCTAGCAGTTTAATTAGGCAGCTAGACGCCTGGCATCGGGGAGCAGGGTTGTTTGGGGGGTGGAATCCAAAGCTGGGGCAGCTGAGGTGCCTTTAGGATCAGGGCTGAGTTGTCTAGGTTTGAGGACTGTGTTAAACCTGATCAAACCTGTGGCCCCCAATCACCTGAATCCAGCAAAAATCAATTAGTGGAGCATGGACTCTCAGATACTAACACACTAAACATTAGCTCAATAACTGAAAAACTGACCCAATTATAGACAATTATTGTGTTTAAAGTTTGGGATCAGGCTGAAAGAAACCTAAGAACACACAAACACCACATACTGACCTCAAATAGAGAACCAAAAAGGTGACGAATTGTCTAAGTAAACCTATTTATTAATGTTTATACATATATGTTTATATTACATATTTGTTTATGAACTTTTATTACAATTAGGTTTGGTGATGTTTGCTGTGATAAAAACATAAATAATAAATTAATTATATCCATTAAAATGTCATCTTTATGCTTTTAGACATTAAAAACAGAAAATTTGAGTGTATTGAGTATTAGCTGTGACATCTACAGTCTTATGAGTCTATTGTTTTCTTCTGCTGTACTTCTTTTTTTGTTTTGTTTGGTTATTTTTGTGCTTTTTTAAAAGGAAATTTCCATACCATGGGTTTTGATCCTTCTCCACTGAACCAGTTCACCTTCAGAGGAGCTCTATGGATCTCTTTTGATCTGCTGGTGGAAGAAGAAGCAGGTTCAGAATATGAATCAGCTTCGAGCCAATCCAGACCTGAGCACAACAGCTTCTAACGTCTTTTATCTGCACACAAGGGTTTGTACAGATAGTCACAGCAAACGATGGTTCAGATTACAAGAAAAACACAGTCCTGGCAAAACAACACGTGTTGAATTTTAAACTATTATTTTCTTTCCTTTTTTTTTAAATCTATTCTTAAGTGTAACTGGACAGACAAACCTATTTCATCATGACTGCAAATCTACATTAGTTATTAAAATAAGATAAGGGATAAAACTTTAGTTTCATTGTTGCACTGAAAAGAACTCTGCGGTCCACAGACAATGAAGAAAATAATTTTTGCAGCTCCCATAGTGCAAATAAATCAGAACAATAAAAAAGATAAAATAAGGAGGTAAAAATAGAATAAAAAGTAAGATTAAAAAATAAGATAAAAACATTTAAGTATTAATATTAGTTATTAAGTGATATTAAATAACAGCAATGGCACAAGAGATTATANGTGTGTGTGTGTGTGTGTGTGTGTGCGTGCGCGCGCGCGTGTGCACCCCTCTGCGGGTCCAGCAGGCGTTCTGTGGTGAACGTCTCCCTCACCTGTGGATTTGAACCTTTCAGACCGTCATGTTCACCGCCACCATGCCTCCAGCCGTGGAGAGGCTGGCCAGGAGCTACCTGCGGCGTCCCGCGGTGGTCTACATCGGATCGGCCGGAAAACCTCACGAGAGGGTGGAGCAGAAGGTCCTGCTGATGTCAGAGGGCGAGAAGAGGTGAGACGGACACGAACGTGACATGTCCCGCTGACGGCAGTGAGCTGACGGGTGTTTGTCTTTTGTCTTCGCAGGAAGAAGCTGCTGGAGGTTTTGTCGCACGGCTTCGAGCCTCCCATCATCATCTTCGTCAACCAGAAGAAGGGCTGCGATGTGCTGGCCAAGTCTCTGGAGAAGATGGGGGTAAGGCCACGCAAATATTCTGTGGTTGGATCACAGCAAAACTAAAATGTTTTCCTGAAATGTTGCTTATTGTAGGAAACAAACTTAAAAAGCAAAAGTTCATACCTTTTTGAAAGTGGGGTTATGTGGAGAAGAATGAACAAACAGTATCTCATCTGTTGTAGAAAGCTTTAAATGGCCTCAGTTTGGAGAAACTTTGACCAGACTGATGAGCTAATGGCTAGTCTGAATGGAGACTAGGTTAAAGTGTGTATCGTCTTCAAACGGCTCCTCTCAGATGTTTTGCATCCGTCTATCAAACACTTCTTTGCCGCCAATACTTCCTGCAGAAAGTGCTACAGCTAGCTGCTGCCACCACAGTTTGCACATGTAAATAACCACAGAATTCAGCACAAATCAAACAATCTAAAGGTTAAGATTATTTATTGCAGGTTGGAGCTGTTGTCACTCCCTTCTGAGAAGTGAAACGGTGAAGATGGTTTTGTTTCTGTGCGTTAGTAAAATATAAACTACTGGACTTGGGATGCAAACAATCATCCATCCATCCATTTTCTTCCGCCTATCCGGAGTCGGGTCGTGGGGGCAGCAGCTTCAGAAGGGAGGCCCAGACCTCCCTCTCCCCAGCCACTTCTTCCAGCTCCTCCGGGGGAACCCCAAGGCGTTCCCAGGCC